GTTTTGTAATGAGGCCCTTCAGCCAAAGCCCAGTCACCTTGCTGAGTAAATGAGAAGGAAAAGGACAAAGTCTCTGGGATCCATCTTATGAGGCATGGTAAAACAAGGAATGCTTTAAGGAGTGCTTCTTGGGTGCGCTAGTTGGAGGCACTAGTTTATTTTTATCATTGACACTATTGTAGACGGCACCATTCCCCGCCCCCTGCCTTTGCCCACCCCCTCCCAGCCCCCGCCCTCCCTTCCCTCTGGTCCTCACCGCACTGTCGTCTGTGTCCACGGGTTAGGCACATCTGTTCTCCGGCTCGTCCCTGCCCCTTCTTTCATTCAGCCTCCCACCTCCTCTCCTCTGACAGCTGTCAGTCTGCCGTTTCTGTTTTGCTTCTGCTTCTGTTTTGTTCATCAGTTTATTTTGTTCATTAGATTCCACACGTAAGTGAGATCATATGGTACTTGTCTTTCTCTGACTGGCTTATTTCACTTAGCATAATAATTCTCCAGGCCCATCCATCCATGCTGTCGCAAAAGATAAAGGGAAAAGGTCTACACACAGTGATATTATCAGACACGCTCGGCTGAGCCTTGTTTGGCAAAACACTTCTTTATGCAGCGCTGTTATCAGTCGCTCTCAAGAAATAAGGTGCAGATCAAAGTGAGTGGCAAGGCTGTCCTATGTTGTGGTGGCTCCCAGTATGTTTTCTGGAAACATGTTACAATTTCCACCTGCCTCTTGAAGGGCCGTTTTTAGTTAGCTTCAGAACCAGGGAAGTCTATGATGTGAAAAATTACATGAATTCCCATGAACAAGGACGGAGTTCACTCTAAATCCCAAGAAACGAGACCTCCCTACAGAGGAAGATTGAGCCTTCCTAGAAGCTACTCCTTCCTTCACAAAGAGCCAGTGATTCAAATAACGTGGGGCTCCATGCCCAGGGGAGAGTCTCATAAGACCTTCACGTAGAAGTTGCCACAATCTTATCTCCAACTGAGAGTCCAGCGTCTAACTTAAGCCCTGAAAAGGGGAAGCTGAAACTGCTCATCACACTACACCATGAGGTGTCTGTGGTTGAAATGTTTCAGTTCTCCTTAGAGGTCTACCTCTGAAGAGGAACTCAGCATTACCTCCAGGGGAGCAACACACACACACACACACACACGACATGCTTCCCTAAGTGAGCACATGTCCCAGGTGGCCTTTCCCTTCTGCGTGCTTCACACTGATTTATCACTGATGCCGCTGCTTCACGTTTTGCGGGGTGATGTTTCAAGTTATCCCCCTCCTTCCCATTCCCTGTTGGGAAAATGACTCTGTATTTTAAATAATTTAGACACAGCAGCAGTACATGTTTTCAGGCTTCAGATAACACCGCCAGTGCCAGGAGAGGAAGAGCGTAAGGCAGCTAGGATGCCCAATTCAAGAAAAACAGGAAAAGAAAAAAGCCGCAAAGCATTGTTTGTTAGGCGGTCACCAGGCATCACTCGGAGACCATCCCATTTGCATGTGCACACTCCCATTGCTGGTCCTGAAAGAGGAACACTTAGGACTTTCTGGGAGGAAAAGAGATCACCTTTTCTAGCTAAAGAATAGAAGCATTTTGATTACTTTCTGAGGAAGTTTGTGGGGAAAACAAATAACTCTAAGAAGAACGGTGTGTCTATTATGGGGTTGTTACTGAGCTTTTGAAACAGTGAGGAAGACTAAAGAACCCATTTCAGGAAGCGACTGTCATTTAGCGGCTGTGCCCTTGCAACACAGGATCGTTCTGTTTGAAACTGAGGTTAAGGAAGAGAAAGGTTTCTCCGGCTATGTTGGGGAAGAAAAGTTTTCCTATGCCCCACAAAGGTTCTCTGGCTGGGCTAATAATCAAATAGACATGAGAGAAATTAAAGGGAGAAAATTTCATTCCATTTCATACATATGTGAATCCCCTCCACATGACCCTCCCCCTGCCTGCCGCCCCACACACAAGAGGTTCCAAGACAGAAAGGTGAAATAAGGTACATATGCCATCTTGAGCCAAATGGAACAGGGGCCTGGAGCTTTGGAGGGGAGGAGGGTGATTATTCACAGGTTGATGAGGAGAGCAGATGTTCAGTAATTAGATGTTCCCCCTGACATACAGGCAGGACGTAAAACTTTATTTCAGATAATCCTTCATTATGGGGAAGGCCACGGTTTCAATTCCTTAAGGGAGAAGCGAAAGCATTTCTTGAGCTTGGAGGGTCAGGAGTGCCTTTAGCTCGAAAGAATCCTCATGCTCAGGTGACACATCCTGTGGACGCCTGCTCTGAACCCCTTCAGGTGCATCAGATAAATCAGCCAGTCTTTCCCAAACCCCCTGCTGGTAAATGCCATGCTTCCCCAGTTCCACTCTTGAACGGTTGCTGTAAGTGGGAAATGAAGAGCGAGGCAAGATCTTCTGTTCTTGGCTCATTTTCTCCACACAGGCAACGTCCTCGCCTTCCTCTTCTTGGTTCTTTGAAAGCAGAAAATTCCAAAAAAATATTCTGGCCACCACACGTGGTGGGAAATCACTCGAGTGGAACCTGTCACCCTCTTAATCCACTTAGGATGACAGAGTGCTGATTTGCGCATCTAATTACTGGAGCCTAATTACTGCCGCGCTGAAATCAATGTGGCACAATAAAATATGCACCACCTTCCCGGGAACGAGAGCCGTCCATCAGTCCCCTTCTCCTGACCTTAGCATTGAGCTCATTCCCGGTCTTACTCTAGAGATTCAAAGCCATCCCTGTCGGGCATCTGAACTCTTCAGCGCATGCCTGAAACCAGCCTTGTGACGTTGCAGGTGATGAAGTTGGGTTCCACAAGTGGAAATGACTAATTTATTAGTGTTCTTTGAGGTGGAAAATAGGCATGTAGATAAAGGGAAACCCATGGATACACTCTACAAAGTCTTTTAAAAAAGCACTTTTGAAAATGTTCCACACCAGGGGTTACTAATAAATGTAAAACCTATATTCCTAGGATGGGGGAATACTCTTTTATCGGAGAAAATGAACTGGCATAAGAGATAAAAATAAAATGCTCAGAATATGTATGATCTTTGCTTGCATAGAAAAAAAAACTGGAAGGGAAAAAGAATTGGGTTTCTTGGGATTAGTGTCACGATGGATAATGTTGAACATGTTTATTGCGTGGTATTGATGCTTTTCATTGTCAAGACTCACTCATCAATGTTTTGATTCGGTAGGTCAGACACATGACCCAGGAATCTGCGCTTTCAATTCCTGACTGACAGTCTTATAATGATGCGCCCCACTAAAAACTCCATGAATTAAGCTTGCTGTTCCTTATAACCACCCCAGGAGATATTACGATGTCCCTGTTACATATTAAGAAACAGAGGCACAGAGCAATTAAATGATTTCTTCAAAATCACACATTTAGTGGCACAGCTACATGTATATATAGGAAAAAAGTGTTTTCATTCATGCCCCAGGACAAGCAAACGGGCACCATTGCTGATTGTTTGCTGAAAATGCTGCTGCCATTTATAGCTTGTCTGCTCTCCAAAAGGCTGTCGTATAGTGACTTCTATTGGACACAGTAGTTCCCTTACTCACAGACTCCGTTTTATTCAAGTTTCAGGAAATACATCCTGGCTTTCATTGACTTTTTGCTTTATTGCTATTTTTGGAATGTGTAGCCCTGTTGGTAAGAAAGCATTAATGATATGAAAGAATAAAATAGCAGCAGATCTCTGAGTTTTCCTCTTCCCAATTGCTGGTCAGGGATCCATTCCGCTTTCCTTTTCTGCTGTGTGTGTGTGTGTGTGTGTGTATGTGTGTTCAAACACAGTCAAGCAACTCCACAGATTTATGGAGGTTTAACAGACAGCAATAATGGGGTAAGGAAGGAACATGTGCATTCATTTCCAAAGGAGCACTTAAAGAAGAAATGATAAAATCATATGTTTAATGCAATGGACCAAGTGCTGGGGGAGGCTACGATCAAGGCTGAACAGACCTGCCTTGATTGGCTAACAGGCATCTTAACACCTCCCAGCGATCGCAGGATGTGAGGGTGTGCAGGCTGAAGGTAGGACCTCGGGATAATAATGCGTTATTTCAGGATGACTTCAGTCCAGCAAAATCAAGTTTGTGCCAAGTCCTGCCTGGTGTTAGCTCTGAGTTAACAGAAAGGGCAGAGATTTTGAACTGCAAGGTCTCCATTTATTAATGAACTTACATGGCTGTACAATGAATTGTCTCGATTGTCAATTGCTATACAGGTGTTTCTTATGAGTGGCTTTTCTGGGCACTGATATTAGAGACACTTGCTATTCTCTCTGCTCTTAGACACTTAGCAAAGGCCTGGGCATCAAGAATTGAGCTGAATTTAATGAACTATCTTACACCAATGCATCTTTAACCTGCTCATTGTCTGTCTCTGTGATCGAAAAAAGGATGCATCTGATTTTGTGTTATTCCGTGTAAGGTTTCGATGTTTTCAGTGGATTGGCAAAGGTGGGTGAGGGAGACTGCAGGATGTACAGCATGGCACGCATCGGCGTTATCTTCACATTCACATGCACTTTCATAGAAGCAAGTCTTGTCCTCGGCTTCCGAGACCCGCCGTTGTGCCTTTATCAAAGGGGTTCGTGCCTAGATATAATGAGTGCTCTTTTGAATTTCTCATTAAAATGGAGAAATACAACTCGAAGGCGGAGCACAAAAAGTTTGCATCCTAATTTTTTATGGAGATCCCAAATTCCATGAAGCACCATAAATTAATTGTAATTGAATGCCTATCAAAAACATGGGCATTGACCTGTGTTCAAAACAAGGAGAAAAAACAAAAAACAAAACAAAACCCTTTCTCTCTAACACGCTCATCAATGTCCCAAGGTAATAAACAATCCGTGAATAGTTTGGCACAATGATGTGTTAAAGAAGCACAGTGGATTTATTCTAACATTTTCCCACCTGGAAGACCTGGGCTCGAGCATCTTCGGCAGTTGGAAAGCCGCACAGCGTTCCTCCCAGGATGCCGTGCCACTTTTCCAGCGACCCTAGACTTGCGGGCATGGGACTGGGTGGCGGCGGAGGTAACTGTAAAGGTTCGGGTGTAGGAACTGCAGATGGAGAGCAGGGCTCTGGGGACGGACGTGGAGAGGAGCGGAAAGGAGCCTGGAGAAAAGGCTGTCATATTTGCTCAGAAAAACCGCCAAATCAGAGAGCAGAGACGATTTCATTGGAGGAGCGCCTCCAACAGCAATTAATCCTGTCATATTGCAAGAAAATTGTAAATGTTCTCTCCAGAAACTGTCCGTCCATTGCAGCTAATCGAACATACACTCACGGAGACCCGCTCTCCTGCTATACCAAAGGCTCTGGGGTGCAGGGACTCCCTCCAGGGAGCGCACGCGCGCGCGCACACACACATGCACACACGCGCGCACACACGCCAGCCTGCGGGTTGGCCAGCGTCTGACAACCGCAAATCCCAGTAGGAAATAGCCACAGGCACTGAAGTAGGTGTTGGCGCTACTCTAATTACTACTTTCCCAAGCACTTGGGTGAAGCAATGAATCCCGCCCAGCTCGCCGGTCCACCCAGGTCTTGGTTCTGTTTTGTTCTCCAGACTCATCTCCGGGAAAGCCAGGTTTGAAAGTCCTTTTTGCTTTTCCTTGGGTGGTTTGGTGGGTGCGTTGGGGTGCAGGGGGGCAGCGTTAGTGTCATTTCAGTTTAAACCGACACGGGCTTCCTGGCTCGCCGAGTGACTGGGACCCGAATAAGGTGCGCGACTCTGGTCGCGAGCGCCAGAGCCCCACAGCTCTCACGAATCTTTGGGTCTGCTCTCTCCCCGCCTCTCCCGCCCCACCCCTCCGGGTGTCGCGGCACCAACTAATCTTTTCCTTTTCTCTCTCAAGATCAAGGGAGAAAGCCAGCCAGCGGCTGGACTGGGACTCTGAGCCCTGCGCAGCTCGCGCCGGAGCAGGTCAGTCCCGAACCCGCGAAGGACTCCTCGCTCCTGCCATCCTGCATCAGGGAAATCGCAGTCTGGGGAGGCAGTCGGAGCCCAACGGGCAGCAGGTAAGAGGACTGCTCTGCCCGGCTCTGGGCTCCTCCGCGCCAGGGTCCCTGGCACAGCCGGCTTCCTCCAAACCTCCAGCACCCAGCGCGGAGTGGCCGGGGGTTGGCAAACAGGACGCTGGTTCTCCACAAGTGCAGATTCTCAAACGGAAACTTTGACTCCTGGGGCTTGGAGAGCTGAGGGCAGCGATGGGGGGTCTGGCAGGAAGGGGCAAATGAGGCACCGCACTGGGCAGGGGTGTGATTCCGCGGGTCACTGAGTCCCGCGGAAGGTGGAAGGCAGCCTGGGAGGCGCGCCTTGCAGGGGCATCGCTCTCTCTTCCAGCCCTTCGCCGCCACTCTGTTACCCGACCCTCGCCCTATCCGCGAGTTGCCGGCACGGCACGGAAAAGAGAGCTTCGCCCTCTCCTACCGCTCAGGCTTCTTTCTGCCTGGAGTCTGGCCACGTCTCCCAGGCGTGCGGGGTGGAGGCCCGGCTCGCCCGGGTTCTGCTCCTTGGTGCTGCGGCTCGTGGACCACGACCAAGGAGCAGCGGGGTGGGTAAGAATGGGTTAATGGTTCCAGGACAGAGGTGGGGGCAGCCTTCTGCCACCCCATCCCGCATCAGCTCCATACCCGAGGCTGGCTGTCCGCCTCGGCTTGGGGACGGACAGGGTCTCAGCCCGGAGCCCGCGGGGTCCCAGACTGTGCCCGGGCTTCGACAACCCCCACTCCACGATGGGCCCTTGGCCACCCTGGCAGGACTCGGGTCGTAGGAGGGGTCACTGCCCACTCCCCCGTGTCCCTGGCCACCTGCACCCGTGGGCCTGGGCGACCAGGAATAACTTAGAGCTCGTGGCACCCCCGAGGTGCGGTCGGAGCCCTCGCAGGGTGGATCACGCAGAGATTCCACCTGTAAGCTCCAGACCCTGGGCGCCCCCAGCGGGGTTGCAGGAGGCTCGCCTAGGGGGGTTCTCAGGAGGTTAATGCCCCCCCCCCCGAATTACTGACCCAAAGAGAGGCACACCCCTCTGCCTCGGCCCCCCTCCAGGGTTCCTCTTTCTTTCTCTGCCCTCCTGCCGTCGCCGCCGTCCTCCAGGCTGCCTCGAGCTACAAAATCGCCCGACCGGGCTCACCGGCTCCCCCAGGTCATGAGACCAGGGCTGTTGCCTGCGTGGAAATATCCCCCTGGCGCAGAGAGGCGGGAGGAGAGCAGAGAAACGGAGCAGACACCCAAAGCAAGCGCAACTGCCCGCCGACATCTCACCCGAGTCGCCCTCAGGTGTCCTTATGTCAGTTAGTTCGCGGCCCCCGCACGTCTGTGACGGAGGCCACCAAGGGTTCCGCATCCGCCAGCCCAGGCGCGGCCAGCCCGGCAAAAGCGCGGCGGCGCTTCCCAGCCCTGAGCTCCGGAATCCCCCGCGTTGACTTTCTATTTCCCGTTCATCTTCTCTTTTCTTTTTCTGGTTTGTTTTGCTTCTCTTGCTCTTTTTCTTAGCGCTGGGTGGCGGTGGGTCCCTGGCAGCCAGCCGTGTGGCGCGTCAGTTCGCCGGCACACGCAGCACAAACACGCGTCCCCACGCTCTCCCGCACACCGCCCGCGTTCCTTTACGCAGCCCGGGCTCCACAGCCCCGAGCGCCCGCAGCCAGGACTGGTCAGGGTCATGGCCGCGGCCTTGGCTCCGCAAAGGGCCGAGCCAGAGGAGAACGGAGCCAGCCCACTGTCCAAAGAAACCGTGGCACGTCAGGAAGGGCCTGAGAACGACTCGAATGTGGGTGGGGGGTGGGACGGGGGCGGGTACGCTCTGGGGGAAAACGGTCCGCCAGCTCTGGCTGTGGTTCCCCGCCTCCAACCCCCCTGGCCCGCGCCTCAGGCCGGAGCCCACCCCGCGGTGGGCAGCCTCTCTCCAGCCACTCAGGCAAGTCCGGGTGGCTCGGTCTTGAGTGGACCAACCCTTGACTTCCCTCTGGGCCATCCTGCTTTACCAGATGAAGAGGGCTCTGTAAGGGGGGCAGCTCTTGAACTCCTGGCGCTCAGCTGGGCAGAGGCCCAGCGTTGGCACTTTGTTGGCGATCCGCGATTGTGTATACATAGTATCGAAAAGCACATGGCAGGGGGTAGCACACTGTTGTTGGTAAGCGCATAAATAAGGATGACGATGTGCTTTAGAAACGACAAACAATGAGGGGTGCGCGTGTGTGTGCATCTGCGTGTGTGTGTGATCTTTGGGGCCTGACAACAAGGGCATTGGAAAACGCAGAAGTGAACCAGGTGTTTTGGCCGAGAGAGGTTCGCATTGGAAGCTGCACTGGGCTGCAGTTCAGAAGGTGGACTTGGGAGACTCTGCTCCTGGGGAATGGAAGAATTCCGGGCTCCCAGTGTCGCAGCTTCGCGGGGTTTGGCAGCCGAGGACTCCAGAAGCAGTGAGTGAATGCCAGGTGAATTGTATTGTTACCACTATTATTAGTCATGTGTTCCAGTTGTGGCAGAGATAAGGCAATGCTGTGGGTTCTCTGTGCTCTACTAAGTCAAATAATGATGCCCATGCCAACTGAAAAGTCCAACTTGCCCCTGAGAAGGCTTTAGAAATGCCAGCCAAGTCTGCTTACTGTTGTAAAAGCTCAATGAGGCGAGAGTGGGGAGCGTCCTAGGACCCAAAATTCGGGGGGGGGGGGCTTTGGAATGGTACCCACAGTTTCTCAGCTTTGGGGGACAGAGATTGCTATCTTAACATTAAAATCTCCATGGCTCCAAATGGGATCCCGGGCCCTTCCCTGCCAGATAACCCCCAGCTGCAGGCAGGTGGATGGACGTTCGGTAGGAATGTTCTAGCCTCACTTTCAGGGCAGCCAACCCCGAGGTTCAAGGGCACAGAAGGGAGGGAAGCAGCTTCAGAGGTGGGAAGAAAACAGCAGTCCCCAGCCTGCTGGCTGGCAGGGCTCCCACGTCCCGGAGGGAGGGTTGGTGGGCGGATTAGGAGGCACGTGGCTCTCTGACCCACAGCAATGAACAAGGTCAAGGCAAGTGTAAAAGATGAAGAGGGGAGAGGAGAATAAAGCGACATGAAAAGGACGTGGAAGAAAGAGGAAAAAAACCTGTGCGTGTACAGTTAACAGCCTCTATCACCTGCCCCAGTCTTTGTGTGGGGTATGCCTGGGGGAAAACACCTATTGTATTGTGATTGCCTAAACCTGACCACTCACGCCCCACTCTCAATCTTATCTTATTACTTCTTCCCTTTACTCAGTAGGATCGAGAGCCCGGGAGAAACATTTTGTTATCCAGTTCCCTTGAAGGACTGGTTTTCCTCATGGAAACCTGTCCTTGAGGTAGTTAGGTGTTTTATGGTGTGGACTCTCTGTGTGAGTTTCCTCAGAGGACACCTATATATCAAACACTGTCACGTGCTCCCTGTGGCTATTGACACCTGGCTTTCAAGTCCCTGTCACCGGTCCGTACTTTGTCTGCCTTCGGGTCATGGCGCAGGTGTTGGGGCTGCTTTGATTTAAGGGTGTCGGGGCAAGGGGACTCACTGCCTACCCCAAAGCTCAGTGGATCCTGTGGTGGTGATGCAGGTGGTAATTCTAGTACTGTGTGTTTTGTGTGGTGTGAAGGGAACGGGTCACCGTCCCTTAGAAATGCATTTTTAAAGAGTGTGTTGTAAGTCCTGGCCACTGCCCTAAGCACCTTACCTGTGTTAAGTGAACTGTTCTCTCAGAGCTTTGTCCCCACTGTTTCAAAAGTATCTGGCACCTCCGAGGAGGTCATTAAGTGTTTGTCAGCTGAGTGAATAGGTGAATCGATTTTCTCATTGCAACAACCCTGTGAAGGAGATGTTATTTTTCTCATTTTACAAAGGAGGGAACCAGAGTTCAGAGGGCCAGGGGATGGCCCCTCATCACGCAGCGAGGAAGCTGCAGCCCCGGGATTCAAACACAAGCCGGGTGGACTCCGGTCTGTCCTCTGCCGTGCTGATTGGCTCCGAGGGCTGCAGGAGCGCCGATCGTTCTGTGTTTGGGAAGTCAGCGCTGGTGTTCAGAGTCCGGCGGCGCTCTTCTCCTTCCACTTCAGTCCTGCACAATCTTGTCGGGGAGCCCTAGACCCCAAGGAAGGAAGGAAGGAAGGAAGGTTCAGAGCCCGCTAGATTCTCAGGTGGCACGACCTGCTTGTTCGGATCCATCAGCGACTGCCTCTGGCGGAGGAGGACGAGGGCGCCAGCGTTGCCTTCTATTTTGGCAGATGCCGTTTCTACCTGTAGCTGTACTAAATTTCCTTTGTCGGGTGCGAAAGGATGAAAGGGAATTTTGATATCTTCCTGTTTAACTCATAGTGCGTGCCGCGGAGGTGGACAGGAGGCCTTGCACCGCAGTGTCTGGCCTCGAACTGCGCACATCCCGGCCCCCGGTCCAGCCTTCGCTCGGCTTTGCCACGCGAACGAACTGCTCTCTCTTCGCTAAGACTGCGGGTGCTGAATAAGGGTCTGAATTTCAAGGGCAGCTTTTACTTTCCGTTAGAATGTATTAGCCCCCTTCACTTTGAAAGGCACAGTGGGACTTTGGGAAATTGCTATTAGCCAAGGGCGAGATAGGTTCTGGCTGGTTTGCCTGCTCCTATATTTTATATATTCTTGTCTTACTTTATTTTATTTTCCTTCTCCCCCGCCCCAACATGTTCAAGGTTCTCCTTTTATACTGTGACCTAAATATACAATCATCTTAACCGCTGCTGTTACCATGGTAATCATTCATGGTAGATGAGGGTACACACTAAAAAATCAGTTTCTTTCATTAGCGATTTTCTTCTCTCCCTCTCTCCCAAGTCCAGGCTTTCACTGAACGACGCCCTCTGGTGTTCAGGGACAGGAAGCACACTACTTTGCACAGGGCAAGAACATCGTTTCTAAACTTTGAATTTCCATTATAATATGAAATGGACAAAAGCAAGAAGACTTTTAACTAGTATATTTTAGGCAAATAGATTAGTAGAAGACATGCATTGCCTGCGCATATTAAGTGTTGTT